TAGACCCACCATTTCTATCTTCCTCGATCAAAAGCCGCTTTAAGATCCAGGAAGATAGAGATGGTAGGCCCAAGAAAAGAATGTTGGTGCTCCAGAATTTGGCGAAGAGTGAAGATGTGGTCAATACAACCTCGACCAGGTCTCAAACCAGCCTCGTTCTTACGCATGCACTCTTCACGTGCGGAAGACACCCGACGGAGTATGATATCAGCAAGAAGTTTGGCAGCAATGTTGATTAAACTAACTCCTCTGTGGTTTCCACAAGAGGATCTGTCACCTTTCTTGTAAATCGGTATGATGACCGATTCACAGCATTTCGCTGGAACCTGTTCTCTCTCCCACACTGAGCCCAGGAGTTTCGTTAACTCCGAAGCCAATGCTAAACATCCATCGTTAAAAACGGATGTGGAGAGGCCGCCTGGGCTGGAGGCCTTATGCCTTTTGAGGTAACTTATTTCCCGGGTAACCTCTACTTCAGATGGATCGATGTGATCGATTATTTTCAGCTCCCCAGTTGAATTAGACCGTCACATTGCCGTTTGTCGAGAGGTCTGTGAAGTGGGTGCTGAACAGGAACAGGTGGCGGTTTTCGTAGAACTAAAGAAGTCGATTGCCGTTATCTGTTCAATGGCAAAGCACAGCATAACGACCGCCTAGACAAGCTTCGATGCGAACACTTCCGACCAGCCGGTTGGATTCATATGCGTTCGGTGAGTTTATAATAGAAATCGTACGTTTATATATCAGAACTGCAGTTTCTTGGTGCATGTGCTGCGATGTTGGATAAACAGCTTTCAGTGTTGCTTCTCTTCCGGACACGGATTGATCCCTGAAGACGCATCGTACATAGACGACTGTTGACGGGGATCCAATCTATCAGTGAATCTCCGGCTAATTTGCTGGCTATCCCTCCACTACTTTATTGACTGAGAAAAAACTGAAATCAAATTACCAGGAAACCCTTCCGTTTGGATAAACGCCATTCTGTTTACCTCTTTTAGTTATATAGGTGCGCAAGCCGCCATCCCTCGACAGGGTGC